TGGTTGCTTCTTCACATGCTCCTATTGTTTCTGTGATGACGGATGCACCGAGACAGCTATTACATATGGACACTGTTGGTCCAGCTAGAGTGCAATCTGTTGGAGGAAAGTGGTATGTGTTGGTTATTATTGACGATTTTTCTCGATATTCTTGGGTTTTCTTTATGGCAACTAAGGACGAAGCTTTTCAACACTTTCGTGGTTTGTTTCTTCGATTGGAGCTTGAATTTCCTGGTTCTTTGAAAAGAATTAGAAGTGATAATGGTAGTGAGTATAAAAATGCTTCATTTGAACAATTTTGCAATGAAAGAGGTCTTGAACATGAATTTTCTTCTCCTCGTGTTCCACAACAAAACGGTGTTGTTGAAAGGAAAAATCATGTTTTGGTTGAGATGGTTAGAACGATGTTGGATGAATATAAAACTCCTAGAAAATTTTGGGCTGAGGCAATTAACACAGCTTATTATATTTCAAATCGGGTTTTCTTGAGGTCTAAACTTGGAAAAAGTTCTTATGAACTTCGATTTGGACATCAACCCAAAGTTTCACATTTGCGTGTTTTTGGTTGCAAGTGCTTTGTCTTGAAATCTGGAAATTTAGATAAGTTTGAGGCACGTTCTACCGATGGATTGTTTCTTGGTTACCCTGCACATACTCGTGGCTATCGTGTACTTATTTTTGGGACTAACAAAAACGTGGAGACTGGCGAAGTTTCTTTTGATGAGGCTAGTTCAGGTATTAGACCCGATATTTAAGGTACACTATCACAGGTTCAAGGGGAGGATGGTCGTATTTTTGAAGACGAGAGCGACGACAACGACGACGACGAGGTTGGCTCGGCCGGTCAGACCGGGCGCCAGGCCGGTCAGACCGCCGGCACACCTCCGGTCAGACCGGCTCATGAGGAGCGGTCAGACCGGCCAGGGTTGTCGGCTGAGGGTTCTGTTGATGCTGTTCGAGATGGTCCTCTGGAAATTACTACTTCGACCAGTACTGATACAGAACATGGATCAACTTCAGAAGTTGTTGCTCCTTTGCACATTCAACAACGACATCCGCCGGAACAAATTATTGGTAATATAGGTGAGCGGACTACAAGGTCTAAGGTAACGACTCATGATGTTTGTGCAAATTATGCATTTGTTGCTTCTTTTGAACCCAAAGATGTGTCACATGCATTAACTGATGAATCGTGGATTAACGCCATGCATGAAGAACTTGAAAATTTTGAGAGAAACAAAGTTTGGACTTTAGTTGAACCACCTTCTGGACATAATATTATTGGAACCAAGTGGGTTTTCAAAAATAAACAAAATGAGGATGATTTGATTGTGAGAAATAAAGCTAGACTTGTTGCTCAAGGTTTTACCCAGGTGGAGGGTTTGGATTTTGATGAAACTTTTGCTCCTGTTGCTAGAATTGAGGCAATTAGACTTTTCTTGGCTTTTGCTTCTTCAAAAGGTTTTAAATTGTATCAAATGGATGTTAAAAGTGCTTTTCTAAATGGTTTTATACAGGAGGAAGTTTATGTCAAACAACCACCAGGTTTTGAAAATCCTGATTTTCCCAACTATGTTTTTAAATTGTCTAAAGCTTTGTATGGTTTGAAACAAGCTCCTAGGGCATGGTATGATAGGCTTAAGAACTTTTTGCTTGCGAAAGGTTTTACAATGGGAAAGGTTGACAAAACGCTTTTTGTTCTTAAGCATGGTGATAATCAACTTTTCGTTTAGATTTATGTGGATGATATCATCTTTGGTTGTTCGACTCATGCTTTGGTTGTAGATTTTGCTGAGACTATGCGCAGGGAATTTGAGATGAGCATGATGGGTGAGTTATCGTACTTTTTGGGATTGCAAATTAAGCAAACACCTCAAGGTACTTTTGTGCATCAAACGAAGTATACGAAGGATCTTTTGAGACGGTTCAAGATGGAGAATTGCAAGCCGATTTCAACACCAATTGATTCTACAGCTGTGTTGGATCCTGATGAAGATGGTGAAGCCGTTGATCAAAAAGAATATAGAAGTATGATTGGATCTTTGTTGTATCTAACTGCTTCTAGGCCAGAAATACAATTTGCTGTGTGTTTGTGTGCGCGCTTTCAAGCTTCTCCTCGTGCTTCACATCGTCAAGCGGTCAAGCGAATAATGAGGTATTTGAATCATACACTTGAGTTTGGAATTTGGTATTCTACTTCATCTTCTTTATGCTTAAGTGGATATTCCGATGCTAATTTTGGAGGTTGTAGAATTGATAGGAAAAGTACTAGTGGAACATGTCATTTTCTTGGTACATCATTGATTGCATGGTCTTCTAGGAAACAATCTAGTGTTGCTCAATCAACAGCTGAATCTGAATATGTTGCTGCTGCTAGTTGTTGTTCACAGATTCTTTGGCTTTTATCTACTTTGAAAAATTATGGTCTTACTTTTGAAAAAGTACCTCTCTTTTGTGATAATACTAGTGCTATTAACATTGCTAAGAATCTTGTTCAACACTCACGCACAAAGCACGTTGATATTCGTTTTCACTTTTTGAGGGATCATGTTGAGAAGGGAGATGTTGAATTGCAGTTTTTGGACACCAAGTTGCAAATTGCTGATATTTTCACTAAACCTTTGGATTCTAATTGCTTTACTTTTCTTTGTGGTGAATTGGGAATAATTCATCCTTTTGGCATGGTTTGAGGGGGAGTTTGTACCTCATGGTTTTATCAAGCAATAATATGACAATGAAAAAAATTTGAGAAAAGAGAGCTTTGTTTATACATATGGTATTTTCTTGTGCATGCTAGCAATACTTTGAAGGTTTATTTGTCTCTAGCATAGCTTGTATGTATTCTAGTCTTTTCATGAGATTTAGATTTTACTTTTAAGTGAGATGATGCATGACACTTAAATTCTATACTTGAATTAAGAAAATATGCAATGTTGATGCTAGCATATGGTTTGATCTATAAATACTCTATATATATGCTTTATTGAATTGTTATTCCTCAAATAGCTTTAATTGCTCATTGTGAGAAAGACAATAAAATATAAAAAAAATGAATACCGAATCCTTGGAAACAGTCTTGACGACAAGGACGTATTCGATGTGAGCAAAATAATGGGTGCCGAATCCCTGGAAACAGTCTTGATGACAGGGATGTACCTGGAATAAAAGAGAAAAATATGAGCAAAAAGGCTCAAGAAAAGAAAAAATTGAAAAAAAAATTCTCTTGGTTATTTTGTGCTAAAGGTTATTTGAGAAAGAGTGATAAATGCAATAGGTATATGTGTTTAGTGTTTATTCTTCAACCTATGTGCTTGTTAAGATGTTGCATTATAAATCGTATGAAATCATGAATTTCGATTGTTGATTCAAGCTTAATTGTAAAATCTTTGGTTCATGGTTATACTTTAATGCATGCTTGTTATGTTATAGATGGGTTCATCTTCTTTTTATTGCAACACATGACTTGATATGCTATAAGCTCTTGAACATTAATGAACATAATTCCTATGCTTGATGAAATCATTGTCAAAAGGGAGAGAAGTAATGTGAAAATTTTTGGATTTTTGGAGAAGCAAGGTGAATTTTTGGAGAGTTGTTGAGAAGAGCATGTTTTTGGTTCAATTGGGAATTTCTTTTTTTTTTAAAAAGGGGGAGAAGTTTTCTTTTGGATTTTTGAGCACGATATGTACATTTGTACGAAGTCTGCTTTTTACCACTTTTGTTTTTATTTTTCCAAACACCAAAACATTTTTATGGGTTTGCCAATGTGTTCATCAAGGGGGAGATTGTAAAATCAAAGGTATTTTTGATTATTATTTTGTGATGAACAATTGGGCATTGGAGATTATTGGTTTTGTTATTTGGAATTTATTCACGAAGTGGTTTTGGAGATGATTGGATTTCACAGGTGATTGCAGGATTCGTCATTTTATGTGACCAGTCAGACCGGGCTCTGGTAGTCGATCAGACCGGCGTGTAATGCGCGGTCAGACCGGCGCAGCACGCGGTCTGACCAGCCGACACTGTGTCGGTTTCGGTTTCGGGTTGTTTATTTGGATATTCGAGTTTATTTCATGATTATAACTTCTAGATGGATACTATACGTATGTAATACTATTGTTTGCTGCTAATGAGTCAAGTTGGAGATGGCTTGGTCTCGGAATATGGTTTCTTTGTTTGTTCCATGTGTAGGTGACTCGATGTCTCGGGAGAGTATTTGCGGTGATGGACCGGGAGTCGGCTTGGGGATAAGACGACGTCCGTGGTGGTCAGAGATCATGCGGGATACTTAGGCTTGAGTTGATGGACGTGGTTGATGGAGATTCCATATGGCATACGATGGAGTTATTGTGTGCGTATGAGATGCGGAGTCGAATTTGGAAGGAGTCCAAATTTGGTACGATTGGTTATGTAAAGTTTCTTTCTTGTACTAGAGAGTTTCCTAAGGTGTTTAGGATTCTTAGTATGAGTTTGGTTCGTGGATTTAGGCTGTCTACCTCATGTATAAATAGAGGGGGAGCGTGAGGCTTCCCGGTATCGCTTTTGAGAGCAATTGAGTTGAGTTTTGAGTTAGGGTTTTGAGTTTAGTCGAAATTTTTGTAAGGAGTGCTGTTGGTGCACTTTGTAAACACAGAGAGAATCAATAAAGTCATCATCTACTTTAAGAGTTCTTCGATTTGTGTTTACCAGGTTTCGGCGATCAGACCGGCGGGAGCACGGCGGTCAGACCGGCGGCGGCGACAGCGAGCAGCAGCTGATCTCGGCGGTCGGACCAGAGATATAACCGCGGTCAGACCGATGGCAACCAGGCGGTCAGACCGGCAGGACAACTTCGGTTAGACCGCGATCCGTCGATTTCGAGGGTAACTTTTATTTCCGTTAAAAGTTTTCGGTTTTTGGGTATACCAACCATTCACCCTCCCTCTGGTTGGCTTAGTTCTTGTGATTCGATAAAAAAAAAGGAAAATTGTTTGCTTTTTGTGAAACTTAAGCTGTAGACGTCGAGTTCAACACCCCTTTTCCATTTTTATTTATCATCAACTTACGTACACAGGCTTGACATCTGCAGAACGGATCGAAAGAGGAATCGAAAAGAAATGAAAAGGCAAGATCTGAATATCATCAGATCGACAAGCCGTATTTACAGTGATCATCAGGTACTCAGGCAGCACGACGAACAGACATATATACTCTTCGCCGCCGTGCGTTCGTCGACGAAACCTCTAGCTGGGGGCGAAGCGGTCGAGGAGCAGGCAGACGGTGGCCTCCGGCATGGCCGCGCCGGCGCGGCACGACGCCGTCACCGCCGTGCTTGAAGCCTTGTTGTTGGCTTCCTCTCTCGCCGCCTTATTCCGCCCGGCGGCGGTGGCGGCGTTCTTGGGGGACGACTGCTCGTCGTCAACCTCGGCGTGGCCGCCCCGGCGGCGGGCCTCACGCTGCCGCAGGCCCGACGAGATCTGGCAGAGCCAGGCCCCGACCAAGCTCGGCGGCGACTGCGGTTGCTGCTGCTGCTGCTGCTGCTGCAGCAGCGACGACGACATGATATGCTAATGCTACACGTACGGTGATATTTCAGCAAAAGACAGGAAATGGATTGGCAAGAGGCTTGGGTTTAGTGGCTTTCTTATACTGCTACTGCAAGTCTGCAACTGGAGAGATTACCCAAAAAAAAACAACACTGTTACAAAGATAAGAATTAAGGTGGTGTTTGAATCTCCTGAAGATGAAGATGAATATTAAGTTTTTTACGCAAAACGAGGTGGTATTAACTTATGATTGATTGGGTTTTAATTATCACAAACTTGAAAAATAGATTAATATGATATTTTAAAGCAACTTTCATATAGAAAGTTTTCGCACGAAACACATCGTTTAACAGTTTAAAAAACGTACCAAAAAATCTTAATCTTAATCCAACTTTTGTTGAAGACAAGAACAGGACATAGTAAGAGTATGAAAAATTATGAAGCTATTAACATACGATTAATTGAATTTTAATTATTATAAATTTTAAAAATAAATTCATTTGAGAGCAATTTCTGCATAGAAAGTTTCACAGGAGCTATATAATTTATCAGTTTGAAAAAGAAGTGCTAAGAAAAATCAAGCTTAGAAAATATATGATATGATAAGCAAAAAAAAGTCTTAATAAACATATGATTGGATCGGTTTGGAACTGCGAGCGTGGAAAGTCGGTGGATGCGGCCAAGCGAGGTCGCTGCTGCTGTCGGCCTTGGCGCCTTATCGTCGTGCGTGTCTACTATTCCAGCGGGGTTAGGCGGTGACGTGGACATATATAGGTGACAGCGAGGCGCGTGGCTTATCTGGAACTCTTCTTCGCCACGTAGCTGTTGCCTTTTGTGCTATCGTCTCCTGCGTCTTCTCCTACTACATTTCTGTCGATCGGGATGGAACTTCACGGCGATCAGGTCAGGCGAAACTCTATTATTGGCGCCTTGATTGATTCACTGATGATGTAAATTTATCAAATTATATCTAGACTCGATAAGTGCAAAACTACATATAGTCTAGTACTTCCAGTGATATAAGTAACATTTTTATAGAAGCGAATTTCAGATTATGTTGTTTGATGAGCTATGTTCCCAATTTAAAATGGCTGCATATATCTGATTGGATATAGAGAGAGAAAAAAAAAGCTCGACAAGTATGATTAATTGGCACTGTCGGGAGAGTTTCGAGTTCCTGTGCCACGCACGTGAATATTGAGGAGTGTGGACTTTTTCGCAAAGACGTGTGCGTGGATGGGTTGGGCTGGGATTTTTAGAAAAAAAAAGAAGGCTGCCTAATTTTCAATCTCCTGAAAATACCATAAATTTCAGTCACATTTTATATATACAGAATTACATTGAGATTGTACATCCTTTTTTCTCTCCCTATTATGGGTGTGTTCGGCACCCATGGCTCCCAACACCAATAGTGTGCACGGCAAACAAAGCGGTCCGTTAGCGCGTGATTAATTAAGTATTAGCTAAATTTTTATCAATAATAAATAAATTTGATTTTTTTAAACAACTTTCGTATAGAAACGTTTTGAAAAAAATGTACCGTTTAGCAGTTTGAAAAGTGTGCGCGCGAAAAACGAGGAAGATGGGTTGGGAACTAGGGGTGCGGAACACACCCTATATCTTCATCTCCTCTCCCATTCACTCGCTGAGACACGTAGTAGATGCCACGATGGGTTGCCATCGTCTCCTCTCCGTCTGACCATGCCATCCCTAGCATAGTCGGCTGGACATAAGACGTCACCAGCGCTAGTGAGGCCCGTCACACAAGCCTTCTCCCCTCTTCCCGCCTCCCCCACTCCATTTCTTCCTCCCTAAGCCTATGGCAGATCCATTCTAAAGGTCTTTCTTGTCCCTGCCACCAACCCCGCTCAATACCAGCTTCCATCCCCACATCTCCGGCAGCAGTCGTCGCCATCTCACTACCTGCTACTGGCTACCGCCCAAGTCCAAGTATAGGGAAATCGCCCCCTTCCCCCTACCCAACCCCCACACTAAAACCCTAACCCAAATTTATAGATCCTCTACCGGCACTATAACATAAAAGATTTTTTCTTGCGGTCAAAATCGATTTTCACAAGCTAGTGAGTGTGGGGAGGGGGGGGGGGGAGGGCGGAAAGGCCGCGAGATCTGCACGGGAGGGGGAGGGGGCGTTGTATTTTCCCCTCCCGTAGTCGCTGCCAGTTGGACCCTCTCACCTAGGCCCGCCGCCCTTGCCCAAGTCCACTATTGCCACCGAAAACAACGCCCTTGCCCACCGTCTCCTTGTTGGGAGAGGAGTGGGAGAAGCCATCAGAAGGAGAGGGGCTGGGAGGAGACGAGAGGGAGTGTGAGGAGTGGGGAAAGGAGTTACTTGGAGAAATAAAGGAGGAGAGAAAAAAAAAGAAAGAGGGGTATTTTCGCATGTTAGAAAATTGATTTTCACATGCGGTTGTTGAACTGCGCTCGGGGGGATCATTTTTGCATGCGAAAGCAGTTATGATTCGTCTGTAATCTAAAGGGGGTCTCTTCCGGAAAAATCGATTTTGTAATAGTCTGGAGATGGGTGTTGATCATAGTGAGGAAGATGAAGGGGTCGGCAAGGAGCTCGTTGTCGTCACCCTTGCCGGTAAGCCCTGGTTGCCACCTTGCCCTTTTCTTCTTGTCTCCTCTAGTTCCCTCTCCTTCGGCTGGAGGTTGAAGATGACTCCATATATAGTCGTTCCAGGGAGCAGTTGCTGGAGATTTGGAAAAATCTCAGTCACCTAAACTCTAGCATTTCCATTTAGGAAAATTTTTCCTCTTAAGCTTTCGAACCCGACATAAAAATTGGAAGGGTCTACAGATCGGGCGCTCGTTTTTTTACAAAGAAATCGGGTGCCCACCCCAGCCTACGCCAGCGCATGCAGGAGCAGCCTGCACACGCATGCATGTATACTAGTAATCAATAGTTAGGGTTGTTAAAGTTTTTAAGCAAACTTTAAACTATTTTTTCTCTTAAATTATTTATCCAAATCATAATCCGATTGCACCATTAAACTTGTTGCAATTAAATCTTTAAAACAAGACAACACATGGATATATTCCGACGAAAATTTTTTTAGCTTATTATTGAATTGTTTTTAAACGTTGCACGATGTTCCACCAAATATATCGGAATTGTTTTACTAAGTAAATCGAAAATGTTTCAATCGTTTAAATCAGGCGTTGTTAGACCTTATATAAAAACAATTTTTCAGCAAATAGCGAAATAATGTTTCAGCTCACTGCAACATTAGATCTATACATAATAAAACATTGTGAGTACACTAGGTGAAACATTTTTGGTGGAACAAAAAATAAAATGAATTCCCTTAATAGAGGGTTTCCAAAATATGTGGGTGATTTGTTGCAAAAGAATGTTTCAGTTCACTGCAACATTAAATCTATACACAGTGAAACATTGTGAGTACACTAGGTGAAACATTTTTGGTGGAAAAAGAAATGAAACGAATTCCCTTAATAGAGGGTTTCCAAAATATGTGGGTGATTTGTTGCAAAAGAATGTTTCAGTTCACTGCAACATTCGATCCATACATAGTGAAACATTATAAGTACACTAGGTGAAACATTTTTTGTGGAACAAAAAATGAAACAAATTCCCTTAATAGAGGGTTTCCAAAATATGTGGGTGATTTGTTGCAACGGCGTATATGCTAGGGTGTGGGGGCGGCGCGTGGGCTAGAGGCGAAGGCGCGGGCGCCCGATGCGCCCGATTTTTTCTAGTGGCATCGGGGGCCCGGCGCCAAGGATATCCGGTGTAATTCCGGAATTAAATTGGACGATGCCAAATATTGTACTGGTATTTTTCTGACTTTCCGTTACATATTTTCTCGAGTTGTTTTTGTTTTCTGTTTACCAAATCACCAATCTTTCACTTCTATCTACCTGATTTGTATTGACGAGGCTTCTTGGGTGCCAATGCAATGGAATGGGTACGTAGCCCACAAGCTAAGTATGCAACTGTGATCATCAAAATGAGAATATGCACTGGAAAATTTTTTACAGTGAAATTGGGCGCCCACCCCAGCCTTTGCCAGCGCATGCAGGCGCAGCCTGCATAGCATAGGCATGCATGTATACTAGTAATCAATCAATAGTTAGTGTGGTTAATGTTTTTAAAGAAAACATTAAACTGTTTTTCTCTTAAATTACTTATTCAATTCATGATCTGATTGCACAACTAAATTTGTAGCAATTAAATCTTTAAAACAAGACTACACATAGATATATTACGATGAAAAAAATTAGCTTATTATTGAATTATTTTTAAATGTTGCACGTTGTTCCACCAAGTATGTCGGAATTGTTTCACTAAGTAGAACAAAAATGTTTCAATCGTTTAAATTGGGCGTTGTTTCACCTTATATAAAAACAACGTTTCGGTAAATAGCGAAAGAATATTTCAGTTCACTTCAACATTTGATCCATACGTAGTGAAACATTACAAGTATACTAGGTGAAACATTTTTGGTGAAACAAAAAATGAAACGAATTATATTAATAGAGGGTTTCCAAAATATGTGGGTGATTTGTTGCAAAAGAATGTTTCAATCCGCTGCAACATTATATCTATACATAGTGAAACATTGTGAGTACACTAGGTGAAACATTTTTGATGGAATAAAAAATGAAACGAATTTTCTTAATAGAGGGTTTCCAAAATATGTGGGTGATTTTTTTGCAACGGAGTATGTGGTGGGGACACATTGCAATGCGCGGGTGTGCGTGGGAGAGGCGAGGGCAACACAGGCGCACGTGGTGGGCCCCTGCGCAGCAGGAGCGCCTGATCCATGTGCGTGGCATCAAGCGCCCGGCGCCTGGTGTTTTCGATAAAAATCTATTGGGAAAGATCGCGGATGCTCTAATTAATCTAAACTAAACTGAGCAGACCTAGGCAACAAGTTTGAAACGGGATCTTTGTGTATACAACAGCCCCATTTTTTCTAGCGCGTGAGGAAACGGTATCCATTTGAAGCATTGGAACATGACCATCCCTAATAATCTTAGGTGCGGGTGCTAATTAAGCATTGATTTTACAAAATAAGAAAAAAATACCATAGATCA